AACAAAAAATGCATGTACTTCTTAGACTGTGGACTGGGGTATGTCCTTGTGTTAATTTCTCAGGGAACTCCAGAAAGTTCCTTCTTTGGGTGGGAGATATTCTTCTCTTCATAGTGCAGTCCCCTAAGGCACCTATACTTCTAGTAAATATGCACAGCAGTACCCATCACACATATAAAACCTGACACGCAAAAAACAAAAACAAAAAAACAAACAAAAAACCCCCTCCAAGAACAACAACACTAAACCAGATTAAAAAATAAAGTGGCTCTGCAAGTAAGCCAATTTGCTCCCCTATTCCAGAATGGAATGCAGTCTGCAGCGCATTACCAGAGGATAAGAAAGTCGACATGTTGCCTAGACAACCAACTGTGCTACAACTTGGCACAAGAGAAATAAAATCGTATGGATGATCATGGTCACAGGCAGATAGCAAAGAAACAAAATTAACTTATATTCACACAGCAAAAACCTTCCACTGTATATTTTCTCATGGGTGATATTGCAGATGTGCTCTATTCACAAAGATGTGTGCTCTATCCATTTTGGCAGACATGGATGCAAAATGCAGATCTTGGGGAACTCTAAAATTGCCCAAGTTAGAAGGGGATCCTGGGACTGACAGTCTAAAATGGTTCTCTTTCCAGTTTCTTTCTGAAATTGGCTTTTACTCTTGAAAAGAAACCAAAAAGGTAAAGAAAAACGAAACACCATCTTCTACCTGTGTGTATCCTGACAGCAGTTCATCTGTATACAAGTACACAACATACACTTCTATATTTAGGCCACAACAGAGCCATATTTGGGCAGTATCACCCAGATTATGGAAAAGTTGGGGTCACATACTTTTCCTGGTATATCCATCCTTGCTCCCCTGTCCATTTATTAGGAGAAAGAGAAATCTGTACTACTTCTGTAGGATTTGCAGGTGATTTAGAAATTATTTGCGTTCCAAGTTAGAGGTCCTGATCTTTTACCGTCAGGTAATTTATCTGAGAGTAGGAGCTAAACAGATGATTCTGAGTCCTTTATATGTCCCCCCCCCCCCTTCATGGGAAAGTTTCTACATCTCCCACACAACAGGTTTTTCTCCCACCCTGAACATCATAGCACTGGGATTGTGGCGCAGCTGGCTGAGTGTCAGCTGCATTAAGATCACTCTGACCAAAAGGTCATGAGTTCGAAGCCAGCCCGGTTGGAGTGGGTTTCCAACCAATTGTGTGTAGCCTGTTGTCGACCTTTGCAACCCGAAAGACAGTTGCATCTGTCAAGTAGGAAAATTAGGTACCACCTTAAAGTGTGGGGAGGCTAAATTAACTAATTTATGAGGCCATAAAAAGGACTCCAGCAGGGCACTCCAGCGGAAAGCATGCGGGGAATGCGGAGGCGCTGCATCAGTGTCGCAGATAGACGATGGAGGCGACAGCTCCCCTGGCGGCCAGAAAAAGTTAAATAGCCTCTGTGTATGTCTGTATATGTTGTATGTTAAAATTGGCATTGAATGTTTGCCATATATGTGTACACTGTGATCCGCCCTGAGTCCCCTGCGGGGTGAGAAGGGCGGAATATAAAAGCTGCAAATAAATAAATAAATAAATCTGTTTCTCTTTTATCTCACCCAAGTTTTTAACCAGTTTTAATTAGTTCTTTTAACCATTACATGTAGCCTGCCCATTGTCACTGTTTCTGTTTATTGTAATTTTATATTGTTGTATATTCATATGTTTTATGTAATTATGATGTTTATTGTTTATTCTTTGCATTTTCGGTTTGCGTTTGGTCGTTCTTTATTGTAATTGTTGTTTGGGCTGGGCCCCATGGAAGCCGCTCCGAGTCCCCATTGGGGAGATGGTGGCAGGGTACAAATAAAGATTATTATTATTATTTGTAAACTATATTGGACAACAAAGTTTTCTGAAAACCCACTTCCCCACTTCTGTGAAATCTGTGCTGCAAAATACAGAAGACATGAAGAGATGTGGGGAGGAGGGAACTCCTCATAACTGCTGAAGTTTCCAGGTGGCATATGAAGCAACAGCAAAACCCAACAGGCCCCAGAAGCCTCTGCAAGTAGCTGAGGATTTGTGGCAGATGTGAAGGGGTTCCTCAACAAAGAGTCTGTATGTTTGACAGTTCTCTGAAAGTAAAGCATTGGAAAACCACTGTCTCAGACTGATATTAAATGAGAAAAATTCTATGCAGTTTTCAGTCCCATCCCTGTGCATTCCCACTGCAGCAATGAAATTTGGAGAATAGAGCCCCATCAATACTGACCATGCAGTGCAGTTTCAAACCAGTATTGAAAAAAACTAGTTGTGCTGTGCAGATGATTATTTACAAAATCCTAAAACAAACTTGAAACCCAGATGGTGATTCAATAAATTACAGGGTATTAATGAATATTGTAAGCTTTCTTTTGTGCGATTTTGTAGAAGTTTGCTGCCCGGCAGCTACAGTCTGAATGTGGGTGATATCGCCCAAATATGGCTCTGTTGTGGCCTAAGAACTAGCTTCAAACTTCATTAAATGGTCAGTGTAAGAAATTTAGGTTTATCTCAGGTCTCCTTTCCTTCATATCTCACATTGTACACCTTTTCCAACAATAATTCTTGTTATGTTCCACAAGAAGGAATACCAAGGAGAGATGAACTAAACCGGAATGCTGTTATTTATTTGTCATGTCAGGGCAACCAGTCAATTATATTACATTTCTAACAGAACAAAGCAAACAAACCAGAATGGTGTTGTGACAATTCGATCTTTTCATGTTAGGCATCAAAAAAGCAACTGTTTTGGTATACTGGAATGAAACCAAAATGTATTTAAAAATACGAACAATTTGGAAAACAGTTCTTTCATACCTTCTGGTTTACAAAATGTTTGTACTTGTCAATATAAATGCAATATATAGAAATCTCAAGGAACAATAAAGGTTTGTTCTATCTTTTCCACACTTTTCCATTTTTTGGGATTAAATTAGCAGCCCTTTCTTATTTCAGCTTCCAGGACCACATGTTTAACTAGAAAGTGGGGTAGCTGTGAGATTTTCGGGCTGTATGGCCATGTTCCAGCAGCATGCTGTCCTTACATTTCATCTGCATATGAATCTGGCCTCTTCAGAGGTAAACAATTCAGTTAATATTGTTGTTTGAATCTTTTTACTAGATCCACCATTATGTGACTTTATGTAGCACAATCACATATTGCAAGGCTTTTCTCTGGAACTCATTGCCCGGAGAGATTAGGAAAGCCCCTACCTTAGAAACCTTTAAAAAGAATCTCAAGACCTGGCTCTGCCGTTGCACTTTTGGAGAGTAGTCACATAATCTTCTGCTATTGCTCCCCTCAACATTCTTGCCCTAGGAAAACATCTCCCCCCCTCCCTTGTACGAAGGTCTGCCTATTTCCCTGTCTCTCTAAGTTCTCCCTTACAAATAATTCTGCTCCTTTATCTCACCCTGGGTTTTACATGCGGCCCGCTCACTGTCATTATGTTTGGTTTACTGCTTTTTTATGTTTTGTGTATATTGTTTATTATGCTTATATGTTTTGTACTTTAATGCTATGTTGTTTATTTTATTGTAATTTGTATTTTATTTTATTGTAATTTTGTTGTTTGGCCTTGGCCTCATGTAAGCCGCCCCAAGTCCCCGTTGGGGGAGATGGTGGCGGGGTACAAAAAAAGTTGTTGTTGTTGTTGTTATTATTATTATTATTATTATTATTATTATTATTATTATTATTATTATTATCTAATCCTCCTAGACCACACAGACACCTTTTCTCAAATCTTAAGATCGGAGACCTGACAAGATTGCCCTTTTATGTGACCCTAAGAATAAACAAGTGGCCATCTCAATAAAAAAACCATAGCGATCTTGGATTGAAAAGGCTATGGATATTATGAACATGGATCTATTAACTCAGAAAGTAACACAAAATAGATCTCCATCCAAAAATACAGATTGGAACAAATTTGTTATTTTTTTAAAAAGAGTAACTACAAATATTTTAAAAATAGGAATAAAAGAAGAATCCCAAGGGCCTGATACAGTAGGTTACAAGATAACTTTTGATCCCAAGAGATGGTGTGAATGAAGGAATATACATCTTCACCTGAGGGACCTGGAAGTAAAAGGGGGAATCTATATAATATATGTATTTTATATGTATTTTATTTTACTGATGTCGACGGTTGTTATTTTTTTCTTTTCTTGTCTCTCTGTAGAATAGACTCTGTTGCGATATATATAGGTATAGTAATGTATATTATAGGTGAACCATACACATATATGTATGTATGGATTAACACATATAGAAGAAGTTACCCAACTCTCAGCCACTGATGTTGTTTACTTTTATGTTTGTCATGTCCAGTCCTCTTTAATAAAAAAAGAATTGCAAAAAACCAAAACCATAATGCATATATTATCTGAAGTTGCAAGCTTAAGAATATTTTCTTGCTTGCCAGTAGAATGCTGTGGAAATGAGACAGAAGGCAGATTACAAATTATGCAGGTTTGGTTGATTTACTCAGGTGCAGAAGCCACACTGTTGATGCATTTATGAAAGTCATGTTGCACCTTGGTCTTCACTTCAAATACAGGTTTGAAGCACACTATTTTCTTGCTTTAGGACACCATATATTTTGCTGCTTCTGCCTTAGGTGTGGGAAGGAAGAACTGAGTTCCTCTGAACTGTACTCCCTTTTCCTGTTCTGAAGGAAACAGATGTTCAGGTCATTCAAATATCCCATTTGATTGAAGAGAGCTGCTATCAGTACAGGAAGAGAACGGCTGCTTGCCAACTGTTCAAATTGCCATGTGTAGTATGGGAGCAGGTGGGCAACTGTGATCCATGGGGAATATTCTTCAATAACTCAAAACTCCTAGAATTCCACTCTCCCAGCCATCTGCCTATACTACTGATTGAGCTGTACAAACACAAAGCCCTCTGCAAAGAGCAACTAAACAACATCAGAACATTGAGAAGCAGCTTACCTGCTGAAGGGTTCAGAGAAGATTTGTGTTCAAAATGCAGTATTTCTCTATGCTCGTGTCACAACTGGGGAATTCAAGCAGTCTGCAGAAGTTGCATGAAGTAACGCAGAAGCAGCCGCTCTGCAGATTTAACAAGTTACATTAAACAAAATTAGCTTGCCAATGATATCTTTTTAAGTCTTTGGCATAGCTCCCTAGTTCCCATGCCAGAATATAACTCATCATGTAATGAAGCATAAACACATGCAGTTCAAACACAGACATACAATTTCTCTCTTTATGCCAACTTCTTTCCTCTATTTCTACTGCACAGATTTCTGAACTGTAAGTTTCCTAGGGCAAGTACCTCCCACTTTGTATTCCAATGTGCCATGCATACTGATGGAGTTAAAGGTCAAGCATCCCATATCGGAAAATCCAGAATCCACCAGTATCCAAAATTGTTCACATGTGTGGTTGAGATTGTGACACCTTTGCTTTCTGATGATTCAGTGTACACAAACTTTGTTTCATGCACAAAATTAATACAAATATTGTATATAAAAGATCTTTAGACTATGTTTATATGATGGATATGAAACAATTAATGTAGTGTCTAGACTTGGATCCCATACCCAAGACATCTCAGTATGAATATGGAAGTATCCCAAAAATCTGGAAAAATCTGAAATCTCAAATATTTCTGGTGCCAAAATTTTTGGATAATATCTATTCAACCTGTATATATAATTTGTGCATAATTAGTATTTCAGCACTGATTTGAAAATTGATTTTTGCCCTAGAGGAAGATAACTTACTATCTTACACTGTTGATGTTAACAACCCCATAATTTTGCATTAGCACACAGATTTTAAAAAGTTTTCAGAGTATTTACAAACACATTATTCGGGCTCATTATCTCACAAAATAGAACTACCATATATATTCGAGTATAAGCCGACCCGAATATAAGCCACACCTAATTTTACCAGAAAAAAAGGGGGAAATGGATTGACTCGAGTATAAGCCGAGGGGTGGGAAATGCAGCAGCTACTGGTCAGTTTCAAAATATAAATAGATATCAATACAATTACATTAATTGAGGCATCAGAAGGCTAAATGTTTTGGAATATTTACATAAAACTGTAATTTAAGAGAAGACTGTCCAACTCTGATTAAACCATTATTCTAACCTTCTTCAATTGAAATGTGCTTATGTCTCCTTCCAATAATAATAAAGAGAGTAAAATAATAAAAGTAATAACAGTAATAACTGTAAAATAATAAATGTAATAATAACAATAATGAAGTAAAATAATAAATGTAATAATAATAATAATAATAGTAAAATGATAAATGTAACAACAACAACAACAACAACAGGATTCAATTATAAATAATCTTGACTCAAGTATAATCCAAGAGGGACTTTTTTAGCCTAAAAAAGGGGCTAAAAAACTAGGCTTATACTCGAGTATATACAGTAAGCTAGCCCATGGGTTTCCTAGAGAGCTAACTGAGATGGAGGCTAGAAACACTGGTAGAAAACTCTGAGAGAATCTGACCAAAGGTGGAATTCAGCTTATTTGAAGGCATACCCTATGGTAGTACAGGCAAAAACAAAAACAAAACAACCCTTCTTTGTCGCCACTGAAAGAGCTGTCCAGCAGAACTGTTTTAAATGGTTAGAGATCTCCTACATCTTGGGCCATGGAAGGAGAATGCAGACCACGCAACAGCCTGCTGTGAACAATTTATTACATGCAATTCATATAAAATCATGTGGCTCTGCTATGACTTGGAAGTTATAATATAATTCCAGTAGATATATCCTTGTCTCTTACATGCCCAATATTAATGGAGACATTTCCATTTGAACAAGCTGAAGATGTGCACAGGATCCTTGGAGTGATGGACAGCTCCTTTGAGGCTCTCTCTCTCTCCATCCTACAGAAGGAGAACTAAAGTGTGCTGTCCCAGACTAAAAGAAGAATACATCCAATCTGGTATCAAGGCCACAGGCTTTGATTTTGAGAGGGGTTGGTAATGGTTGTTGAGGCCCCTTTTTAGATTTAGTAAGGGACTGTATATTTCATCTTAAAGAAGAAAAGTTAGAGTGCAGTGGGTTTTTTTTAATAAACCAGGTCTCTAAATTCAAAAAAAAAACAAGCGACTTTTCATTTTTATTTTATGTATTTAAATTTAACTTATTATTACCAGATAAATCACCCCACTTCTTCCCCTCCACTCATGTGAGAATATTTAATTTTATTCATTTTATTAGTTACTAAAATAGGTACATCCTGGTCTTTAGTCAGAGATCTCATGGTGATCTGCAATAAATTTAAAACAGTGTAAATAATTTATTTTTTTTAAAAAGCTCAAAGTTATTAAACAATTTAAAATTATATGCATGCAAGGATTTGTGTCAAGCCATTTAGATTCACAAAGCTCTACCAAATAACCACATTTTCCAATGGTTGCTTGAATTATGGCAATGTTGGGGTCCATTGAGCCAGCAAGAGGAGGCAACCTGTTACTGATTTGTCCCACAAGTGAAGGCCCTCTCCCACATTGCCCTGATAGCTGGGATGCTGAGGGCCCTTCCAGCAGACCTTAAACTTTAGGTAGCCATAGTAAAGGTAAAGGTTTCCTCTGACATTAAGTCTAGTTGTGTCCGATTCTGGGGGGTGGTGCTTATCTCCATTTCTAAACCGAAGAGTCAGTGTTGTCCGTAGATGCCTCCAAGTCATGTGGCTGGCATGACTGCATGGAGTGCCGTTACCTTCCCGCCAAAGTGATACCTATTGATCTACTCACATCTACTCACATTTGCAGGAGCTGGGGCTAACACCAGGAGCTCACTCTGCTCCCTGGATTCAAATTGCTGATGGTCAGCAAGTTCAGCAGCTAAGCAGTTTAACCCATGGAACCACCGGGGCTATGGACAGCCATATAAAATTTAAATAAATATTTGGAAAAAATAATTTCTGTATAGTTTAAACACACTTTACCCAAAATACTTGGGACCAGAAGTGTTTTAGATTGTGGATTCTTTTGGATATTGAAATACCTGTATTTGCATATAGTGAGATAACTTGGAGATAGGATCTTTCATAAGTACTTCATATGCATAGACTTCAGGAAATTTTATACAATATTTTAAATAATTCCGTATATGAAGCCAAAAGTATGTATGTCAAACCATCAGAAATGATAGGCAACATGGTCTCAGTAACCCATGTGGACAATGTTGGATATATGAGCATTTTTGGAATTTGGAATTCCAGGTAAGGGATGCTCAAACTGTATCAAACACAATACTTGAATTTATGATGAACAAAAGAATTTTTCATATTCATGCTACAAGAATGATTATTATATATATATATATATATATATATATATATATATATATAAAATAACTATTTAAACTGACATTGATATATTAAATATAATTCAAAAGCAAATATGCAAGAAACTAAAATTTCATTTCCCTCTGAGCACCGCTTCTTTCTTTTTTTGGCACATGATAGTATAATTTCAGTGGCAAACCATGATACAATTTTAATACTATCTGAGGAATACTGAGGGCACAGGGAGGCTACACAAAAGGGCTTGGAGGTTATACATGACTATACTTACTCATGCAACAATTTACTTGGGAGATTGATTCACTAACATTTATTGCTGAGCCAATGGAGATCTATTTTCCTCCTGCCAAGAATCACATGAACCATAAATGAAACCCTTCTCTGCTCCAGTTTCAGCATAAGTGACTGTCAAAACAGAAGGAAGCTCATGTATCAAGACCAAGTCTCCTTGTTATGCACAAATTTGCAGTGCTGCATTTGCTAAAAATGAGAGGGAAATCAAGAAGAACTCTCAAAGTGATTAGACTGCAGCTCCCAATATTTCTCACCATTGGCTATGCTGATTAGGGCTACTGGGAACTATAGTTGGAGAGTCACATGATTCCCATGCCTGGCCTAATACAGGGACATACTAGGATCCTAAGTGCTCATAACCTACATTTCTAAACCAGAGCCTTTAAATTGAAATGGCAAGGTGTTGCTAAACATGAAACCATTAACTGAATAACAGCACAGTTTCATAAAGAGGCAGATGGTTAAAAGGTCTTCTAATGCTCTCCCTCCATTTTTTCCCCACGTTGCCTGGGCTCAGGTGCCAACGAGAGCCTTGTGCAATAAGAGCAATCAGCTTCTAACAGGGTAAATAGTCCTTTCTCTCACGCAGCCTTTCGCTGGTGGCAAGCTTGCTACAGCCCTACAGATGACAAACTAACACAATTAAAATAATTTTAACAAACAGCAATGCACGCTCAGGAAGAACTGAATAGTATTATCAGCTGACATTCAAATAGAATCCAATCTGACATGAAGCAAGTTGATATCACAGTCCTACCTCTAATGGCTAGAATGCTATATATTAAGAACCCAAATAATCAATATTCTGCCACACCTTACAACAAACACTTACAGAACCTGGATGAAGAGGAGGTGATGAAGAGAGGAGTGGGTGTTGTCATACAGGACAAGGGATCAATTAATCCTGAACCGCCCTGAGTCGCCTTTGGGCTGATATGGGCGGGATAGAAATGATGTAAATAAATAAATGTAAATAAAGTACATTTATGCAGAAATGGGTGCAATTCACTCATTTGGAGAAAAGAAGATTCAAAATTAGGAGCTGTTTGCCTCTGATCACCAAGTAGCCTTCACCAAAATGTTCATAGAAGATCTCCCTCCACACAATGCTGTGACTGTGGTAGATATGAGGGGGAAGAACTAGACACTAGGTCATCCTAAGAAGAATTTCAGGATTGTCATGGAAAGAACACCAGTGTAAACCTGAACAAGAGGTTTGAAAAAGAAGAACAAGGAAAACAGCAACAGAAGTAAAGATGAACTGTAGAAGTTGCTAAAGAGGTCTATTATTATTTATTATTATTTCGTGTACTTCTACCCTGCCCTTCTCAACCCCCGAGGGGGGACTCAGGGCGGCTTACAAAAAGGCACAATTCGATGCCTACACAATAATACAGATAAACGAATAAAACAGCAATTAAAACAGTTATAACAGTTAAAAAACAATCAATATATGTCACAGTCAATAAACC